GATAGCTTCTAATAGTAATGATTTTACCTTATTTTAGACTAGATTGGATATTCTTGTCAGTGTTTGCGGAAAAGCCATGACGGATTTAATTAAGCAATTTTGGGTTAATTAATGAGTGTCCTCATAGGGACGGATAGTCCTTAGGAGGAAATGGAAGAGGAAGGATCTGGGATCGATGTATGCATCTCTCGAAGGGATGCGCGTCGGGAAATTAACAAAATTAGCCGATGCGTCGGAAACTCGGGATCTCGGTCAGTTACCCTTCGAACTAGATCCACCTGAATGATGTAATGGATCTAGTTCAGCGCGTCAATCTGAAATTGTCTCGTGTATGACTATCTATTATCGATACGGAGTGTGTGCAAATCAAGGCTGTCATGTCGCGCAACTCGGTATCCCTCAACCTGGTCTATATCTTCAGCCAACGCCACTTCAATACCGCTGTCTCATTCGAGGAAATGCAAATGCGACAGCAGCGTGGTCTATCATTCAAGGCGGAACAATCCCAGTCCCTGCTCAAAGTGGAAATAATTATTATCTTTATCGCGATAATGGATATTATCCGCCCTCCCGCCTTCCATCCTCCTCACTCCCCCCATACCAACGACACAGTTCAGGTAACAGTATTATCGATGGAGCGTGCTGATTGACACTATTATTTCACGTTAATAGCTTGAGACGCGGCCGCGATTTTACGTGGGACGATCTATCTCTTTTAATTTATCCTTATATCAAAGCTTGACATAATTCATTGAAACTGTTAAATGTTAAATAATTCTACAGTAGCTTTTGTAGTAATAACATGCATTTGGTCTCTTAATTAATCATTCTTTTCTTTTCTAAATGTAAGGTTTTTAAGTGTTCCGACATATAAATATATGTGGTCATACACATATTTGTATGATAGTGCATATCTTTCTTTGTGCGTTTCAATTTCTTTCCCGATATTCTATCTAGAAACGCGCGCGCGCGTTTATCTTGCATGGATATCTGTGTAGCTTCTTATATATGTTCAGTTACATTCCAAATTGACAACATTGTGCGAGACACGAAAAGAGGAACACACTAATACCAGATAAACACTATTATCGTTCTTCGGGCAATCATTTAACATTCATACTGAATTTGTATAAGGACTTTGGCAATTGCCGTTTTAAATGTTAAGTTTCGCTCATTATTTTCGAGGTGATATTACATATAAAATACTCGCAAACTGCGTTGAATGAATATAGTAATATGGAACTATCTCATAAAGTAATCGAATATAAAGGAAAAATCTTGAGTGAACGTTACAATAAGTTTTTCAATCCGAACATATGTTATGTTTACAAGTTGAGAAACAACGGCAATCTGATGTGACGAGTGTGGCTTGATATCTTACTGCACAAAGGCGCATTAACTGATGCACTATAAACAACACGTTGAAGTTTGTACAAACGTATTATGTTTTTTAACAGTGAAACCGCAAAACGACACCAGCAGCTTCACGACCTGGGAGAGTTGGATCCAATCAAGAAAAATATTATTGGAATGGACACGACTTGAATTCGAGCATCCATTAAAATTGTATGCGGCGGAAATGATCTTGTGATCAAAAACATGTCTTATGTTGTGATGAACATAAAATATCATTTCTCATGAAACATACTAGCGACGACTGCAATAGACTGATACTATTGTTTAACATAAATATCTCAACAATGTCATATGTATCAATCAATGTGTCAAGTAGCTTCTTTATGCAAATTACGACAATCCACGTTGGAAACATGTTGGAATTTATTGCGAGCTATATATGAAATTCAGTATCACATTTGACTAATATAGAGTACGTCATAACTGACTACTTTTCGGGACCATTGACAATCTATTCTGGATTAGAGAGAACGAATTTATTAAGTATCTTAAAGGGATCAACATAAGTATATACCATCCATATTATAGTCGCACACTCGAATAGAATTACGAATAGAAAAATTGCAAAAGTTTGGGAAATTTTGTTTCATCTCATACCAGAAATACGCATGCTAACAATTATTTTCATAGGACCAAAAAAGAATTTGCTTATAGTAATTTTGAGTGCTGTTACTTTTGCAAAAGAAACAACAAAAAGCTTACTTGCCTATATATACCTATGTCGTACTACGATTATTCGCAAGCACCTCTAGGATATAAGGTGCCAACTATAATTGTGGGATTCGAAGCGAAACTTGATGAATATGAACGGTCGCATTCTATAAAATTAATACAGACTCAAGGCGTTTCGTTACTTTTGTGTTCCTCAAGCAAACAGAAAGCGCGAAATGATAAAGATGCGATACAAAAAATCTTATGTAAACTCATAAAACCTATTCTTGATAACGAAAATTATTTCGCTGGCGTTGCATCATACAGAGACTTAGTGTTAGGTTATAAATATAAGCTTAATCAACATCTAATTATCTATAAAGATTTACAGAACTGAGATAAGTAACAACCTAATATTGGTACTACTTTTGCATAATTGTGCTATTATTTTAGTAGATTTATTGTAGATAGAATACAAACTAAATTGTTATTATGAAGATTGTTAAATTGTTAAATTGAATTTAAATAAATTGTTACTTTGAATTTCTTAATAAAAATTATCCTATTTTTAATAGCATTTTTATATCATTTTTCGTTTTATAAAGAATTACCTTAATCGTAGATGTGGCAGTTAAATGTCTATAAAACATTTGATTCATAATATTTTAACAATTTTTCACAAAACAAGCCACATAGTTATCATTATAGAATCAGTATACAGATAGGCTAATATTGATATCAGAAGGGTTTTACTCGTTTTTTATTTCTGATTTCTTCTAATTAAATACTTACGAAGAATCGCCTTATAATACTTCTTACTCGTTTTGATGAGCTTTAAATATATCTCAGATTTTATTTCAGTTTTTAGACTTTAAATCTTTTCTTTTTTTCTAAAAACGTAAAATTGTTAATATCGCAACATATAAATATACACAATTATATTTTTCTGTTATAATAGCTGCATACAGCGGAAAGAGCAGCTCAGGGAGCACTTAATGATTATCGCTCCTGATTGGTAAATATTCATGTATTTATGAAGAATCTAAAAGAATGCTCCAATCACAGATAATAATCACTAAGCGATCACTGAACTTTTTTCGCTGAATGCAGTCAATGATTATCTTTCTTTGTATATATATGTATGTATATATATATCAAACTTTTTTGCGATATTCTACTTGGAAACGAATATCTATATATATCTGTATAGCTCCTTATGGGTCTGCATGGGAGTCAAACTAGAGACCTCTCGCGGAGAGCCATGAACTATGCTTGGTATTTTACAAGATTATGGGCAAAGTACTGATCAAATCATATTTCTGTTGCAATATTCGTAATTAGAAGGTTTTAATACAGGTCAGTACAGAGCATTTTTTTTTAGAAAAAAGATCTAAACGTTAATTCGATAAAGAGTGTAGTAAACTACCGAAAGGACAAGCTGCATTTTAATTCTTATAAATTTTCAAGAGTCTAAATGCAAAAAGGACTCTGTATTGACCTTCACCGTCATGTGAAGAATATAACAAAAAAATTCACGACTGTCACTTGCAACTTGTCTTTTGTGAAGAGTAAAACTGTTGGATGTAGATATCGCGAAGATATAACTGCAGTTACACTAAAGTGATGTCCGTGAATAAAGGAAAAAGAAAACATGATTTCTCTATTCTTGTCCGACTTAGGGTCTTTGCACATAGAAAAATTTTAACCGTAACCATAAGGTTTATTCCTCGAACGCAAGGAGAATAATTCCAAATTTTATTCCTCGAACGCAAGGAGAATAATCAACTCTGATTGCTCAGTTTTCTTACGACCTTACGGTTATGGTTAAAATTTTTTTACGTGCAAAGGCCCTAATGTTGCGTTCGCGCGAATGATACAGCTAAGTGTGTGCGCTATAGACATATGTATTCACACAGGCATAGGTCGAGTTTTTGAGTCCTGCCGCGCGAGGCTCTCAAAGCCAACTCAGAGTTCGCTCCTGTAGACCAATGATGCTAGGGTTGCATTCCAAAACGTTCTTTTTGAGGAAAATTTTATTCAGTACCTATAGTTCACGTTACATATACTATAGAATATCGAATAAAATTTCCTCAAAAAGGACGTTTTGGAACGCAACCTAGGACATGAGAATTTTCCCATGTGGAAGCTCTCGTGCGCATGCATAAACTGACGTCAGCTACTTCCATACTGGCTGCGTCCTGAAATTCAAGTACTGAAAATCTATAATTCATGTTACATAGGATTTGTTCGAGTTGCTTGTACTTTTCACACTTTTGCACTTAATGCCCGTTGCACATATTACGAATGTAAATGCAATTCTAATACACTTTTCATTCTCGCTTGGGATTAAGTGTAAAAAGTATATTAGCAGAATTGCATTTACACTTGTAACACGAACGGAAAACATGACGTCATTTTTAGAACCTCTAAAGAATTAATGTGCACTAAATGTGAAAGTGTAAAAAGTTCAATTAATGCAAATAAATTTATTGGATATTAGCTATTTTCAGACACACACTTTCAAATAACGTCCTAAAAATATTCTGATGACGTCCCTCCGTCCTCTTAAGAGCGTCTTCAGAACGTATTTTGGAAAATTTGTATTGTATGGGGTACACTAGTGTGCAACGGACATTAGATGTAAAAGTGCGAATAGTACAAACAACTCGAACAAACCTATATATTATAGAATTTCAGCACTGGCAATGAATTTCGGAACGTCACTATAGGCTGCGTTCAGATTCTCCATCTGGATGCACTCTATTACTAGAAACACTATAGTATATATTACATATACTATAGCACATCTAGTATTAGAGTGTACCTGAATAGGGAATTTGAACCACACAAATTTTCCAAAATACATTCTAGAAGTAACTGACGTGGAGCTGTGACGTGTCAGTTTACATACGCGCACGAGGGAAAATTTCCACGTATATCTACAATCATGTTTCGACACGAGACACTGAGAAGTACACGTCAATATTATTATCGTCCTTCGGGCAATCATTGTATATCTATAGTGAGTTTGGACGAAGATTTGTACAATTGCCGTTGAAGTGTCGTGTATCGCTCATTATTTATCAAGTGATATTATATATAAAATATTCGCAAGCTATAATAGATCGTTAAATAGATATAGCAATATGCATTATTGTAGTGAAGTGATAAAATATGAAGGACCAATCAGGAAAGATTATTACAATCAGTTCTTCAATCCGAACATATGCCACGTTTGCAAGTTGAGAGGCAACGGTAATCTCAAATCTTGTAAATGTTGCTTGGTTTTTTACTGCTCAAACAAGCATAAAAAGTTGCACTATGAAGAATACTCTAAAATCTGTAAAATTATATCACATTTTGTAAAGAAAGAACCACAAAATGTCACAGGCGAGGTAATCTATTTGGACGATTGGATCAAATCCAGAAAAAATTTGTTGGAGTCAGTCCAAAAGAAAATTGAGCGTAAATTAAAGCCGTATGAGAAGCAGATGATCTTGTGGTCAAAAAAGTGTTATCATATATGTTGTAAACAGTCTACTACACTTTGGACTTGCGAACAATGTTTTTCCGTCAGCTATTGCCAAAGACACAAGAAGTATTTTAACAAAATACATACTAAGGAACATTGTCAAAGACTAACGGTATTACTCAATATAAATATCGGAAAAATGTCTTTGAAGATTGAAAAGTTATACGATTTCTTTGAGTATATTAAACCGTTTACTCGTTTGAGGGACATGCACGAATTCATTACGAAAAATCCAGGATTGAGGAAAAGAGGTTCATTTTGGACTGCTATAGATTACGTTCTATCTGATTATTTTTCAGAACCACTGACAACCTTTTATGGACTAAAGAAAACGAAATTACTAAGTCATATAAGAAGAAGAAAAGTTATTATTCATGTTCTTGCAAAGTTCATCGATGTACACTATGTGCGATTTTGGGAAATTTTGTATCATTTTGTGCCTCAAATATATGAACTAATAATTGTTTGCATAGGACCAGAAATTGAATCCGTTCGCGGTGAATTAAATTGTTGTTCTTATTGCAATTTAAGGAATAAGAAGATCTCTTTCGTATGTTCAAGTATGTTGTATCACGATTATGTCCGACAATTTTGCCAAGAACATGAGCTTCCAAATGTAATCGTAGGATTTCAAATGAAATTTTATGAACAAAAAGAACTTTATAAATGGGACGAAACTATAAAAGTAATACAAACTATAAAGTGCCCGCTACTTTTAAGCTCTTCAGAACCAGAAATAAGCGAAAATAACGTATTAATAATAAAAGATACGCTAATGTTACCTATAAAGCCTATTTTTCAAGATGAATTCTTTTTCAACAGTTATGTACCATTTAAAGACTTAGAAACTGATAATATATGTATTTTTAATATAGATTTAACCGTTTTTCATAATTTATATTATCCTGATAATGTCGATTTTTCCAAGAGCAGCACTTCTAGCTAATTATCCGTATTATCTAATAGCAGCACTTCTAGCACATTATTCATATCATTGTAACACTACAACAGTACTGTTACTTTAGTAATCTTATTGTAAACAGGATACAAATTATATTGTTATTATGAATCGATTATAAACGATGCTAATAAAAATTACTTTTTAACGATAGAAATCACGTTGTTCCTCAAAAATAAAATAAAACCCTTGTTGTAGATGTGACGGTTAAATATGCGTGTGTGTGATCACGATACGCTTTATATATAAAACTTTAACAGTTTCTCGTGAGATAGGCCGTACGATTGTTCAGATTGTATTGTAGGTTTTTTTTATTCTTTTCAGTGGCGTAGAAGACGACGGAAGCACTCGTTGGAATGTCAAGTCGCAGGTGCAAAGAATGCACACGGCTGTTACGGCAGAATGCGAGGAATATTTGCGGCGGACGCGGTAGTGCCGTTAGCGTTGTGGTAACCGGGCGTCGTCACGTCTGACGTATCGCTGAATAGAATTAACTAAAGTGCCCTTCCCGGCGCTTCCAAAGCGTAATCTGACTTTGAGTCGTACGCCGCTCGCGTCGGAAAAATCCGTCGTTCTTTTCGCCGTTGCGTTTCGACCGCGATATACGTCGTCGAGGAACTTTGCGTCCTATTCGCGAGGATAAAATTGTTGTTTTCATTTTGTCGAGTTGTTGTTTTTATTTTGTAGAGACATTTGATTTCGCATCTGTGCCGTGTTGTATTGGTGCGACCGTTACTACGAGTCTGTCGACTTTCCGACGTGTCTTAAAACATATTTCGAATTCCAATCTTCAAGGTATATTCGTTGCGTGTCAATAAATCATATTTTGTATTTCGACCTGATTCAGCGACTCTTGGCCAAGTCGCTCGAGAGAAGTGGCTGCGTAAATTGAGACGCTTTTCGACGATCGGAAGCGACGATTGTCGCGTAATGGATGCTCGAAGAGAAAGTTTGTATTCTCAAGCGCGCGCGACGTCGTCGGGGCACTAAAAGCGACGGGTTGCTCGAGAGGATCGCCATCGTAATTAGACCCGTAACCAGGTGTCGCGTTTTGTTCGCCATTGTTCGCCACCGGGATGATCCAACGAGCGCGGGGACACTTCTGCCCATTTCTTTTGCTTCCCCGCGGAGAAACCCCCGTCTGTCCCACCCGCCGTCCTTCCCTTGTCACATTGTCTGTTTTGCATTCAGCGATTTGATCACGCTACGCTAACTCGTCTAACGACCTAACGCTTCGTGCCATTAGCGATTTGCGGAATCGCCAATCTCACGGCGGCGCTTCTTCCTTCTCATTCCCCTTTTCTTCCTCATTCTCCTCTTCTTCTTCTTCTTCTCTCTCACCTCCCCGTCTCTCCGCCGCTACCCAACCTCCCTCCGCGGAACGTGGAAGAAAAGTCGCAGGTGGTACTGCTTCTCGTGACTCGGGCAACCGTTTAGGTTTCTAGCTGAAAGCCCCGTTGAAAGCCCGCGACGCTAAATTGGCCAAATTTGCTGAACGCCCGTTGTTGAAGGGAGCACCCGATGAATGAGTCACCTGGCGCGGATGGGTAATCCTCAATAACAACAAGGGTATACTTATCCCGGGTTTCTAACGAGTTTGTAATCCGTGCACGCGTTGACTACTTAATTTCGAGGTTGATGTTGAGCTCGGAGAAATCACGTGTCACGATGTTTCTCGATTCTCGACTAGATCAGCTGCAAAATAATGTTCGCTTCTTTTCTTAATCTTCCCTGCGGGAGCGCCACCTTGATCGTACCGATTCCGCGGAGATTGAATTGTTTCCAACTCTTGTTCTATAAACACACGTATAGACACACACGTACGCAAGCACGTACAATCACACCGAAAACGTCGCTTTCAGGTGGTCAGTTTACCGAAATGGAAGATTGTTCCTGAGTAAATTGCAGTATTTTCTGAAGCGGGACATTATTCTCTCGAGATCTCACCGAAACGCGGAACGTTTATAAATAAAAAAAAAACACCTTAATCCTGTTCTTCTGAAACTTGGAACTTGGAGCGCGTTCGCGCCAAGTCGTTAATCAACTCACTCTTTTACGATTTTCGGTCCTCCCCCCTTCCCTGCAATCCCGAGCGAGGAATCGCGGCCCTTTAACGGGAGACCACGGGACCGAAACTACCTGACGAAGATTCGCTTTTCCGAATTCGGTCAACGGTGTTTCGACAAACGGGAGACTTTCAGTGTGATGTCGTGCCGACATCTTTGTGTCGGTGCCTCCGCATTCACGGCATTCCTCTTTTCAATCCGATCGATGGCCAACGAAGCCGCAACCGCGGACCACGTTTTCGTGTCGAGATCGACGAGAAGCAGAAACAGTGAGTGAGAGAGAGAGAGAGAGAGAGAGGGAGGGATGGGGGAGGAAATGAGAGAAGGAGGGGGGAGAGAGAGAGAGAGAGAGAGAGAAAGAGAGAGAGAGAGAGAGAGAGAG